TCCAACTACCTTGGACTGGGGCTTTATCCTTTGAGAGGGGCACATGCACTTCAGAACTTTTCCAAATGCCTATTTTGTGAGGACCTAGTTCTAAAGCTGAATTAAGATATTGAGAGGAGGTGTTGCATAGACCTGCCTCTCTGCATCCCATGCTGTGACTGGTCAGCACTTGAGCCTAAAATGGGGAATGGGAGGAACTATAGTAAAAAAATAATAATAGCCTCACTTGGAAACCTGGGCTAGTGTCCAGTGTTGGGATCAGCACTGCCGGGTAAAGGAATTCTGCTTCCTTGACCCATGGAGGTCTTGGATAAATTCCTTGGCCTCAGATTTCCTCCTCTGTAAGTTCTCTTCCTACTCTTCCATTCTCTGAGTCTTTAAGAAAAAATCTGGGGAACACATAAATAGTTACCTTCTCTTTAAAGCTTAGAGGGGAGAAAACAAAGCACAGCGTCAGATATATCAGGGATGCTATGTCCCAGGCTGCAGAACCTCAGGCACTTCTGAAAATTAAACCAAGCAGGCTGACTCAAATGCTGTTGAAATGTCAGGCTACTGTGCAGGATGTTGTTGGATGTCTGCTTCCCTCTGTTTTTTAAACAACATCACTCTGCTGAGGATGAATCTGTGTCATCATCAAATGGCTCTTGTCATTTTAGTGTAGTGATCAAAGAGGAAAAATAAAAGTACTGTTTGTGGAAGAAAACAGATAAAATATGAAGGTATTTCATAACTCAGTATGCAAGGTTGTCTGGAATGTAATGCAGATCTATCAATAATTTAGTTAAAACAGTTTACCTGCTTTACATGAGTGAGTTCAGATCACAGATCTTCATTCAAATTCACACTAAATGTTATTTAACAGTGGGTTGCATATTATACTACACAGACCCAAAGCATTATAGATTTTTTTCCAAGTGTAATATACATATCCAAATGATTGCAGTCAAATATAAATTTAGTCAAATCTTTAATACTCTCTATTAAGGCATGAGTAAGATTTTAAAGCTTTGTCTTAGCTACAGAGTAACTGGAACTAGAGTTGAATCAATTGCAAATAGCCAGAATAGAAAGTTACCTTTGGGCATGGTATTTATTCTCAACAGTGTTTCATCTCAAATAATGAACATTTTTTTTTCTTCAAATGCAAAAGTGAGCAATTACCTGTCATTATTAAAATGACAAATTTTACAAGGGGACTAGTTTGGCTTCCTTTTCTGGAGAGGCTAACCTCTATTACATCATCCTTGGGTACATGTCTCACATTTGTCATTGACTGTACCTGAGTGCCCAATGCTCCATTTTCTCCAGAACAAAATTATCTTTCAAAACACAGAAAGAAAGGCACCAGTCATTTTTTCCCACCTTCAGTTGAGGTGGGGAAAGTATATTCTAACAGTTCTGCCAGGTAGCTGGCACGATTTCAGAACGGTTAGGCAAAGTTTAGCGTGAGAAATGAAAATTACATCTTTGTATTTTCAGAATTAGACTTTAAATAATTTGGAGCTCTCTTCTATGGACAGCTTTATATGAGAAGACTTGATAAACCAAAAATATATACATTATTGCAAATAAAGGCTACATAGGAGATTCCTTAGAGCTTCTGTGGTTAGACAAAACTTATATATATGGCCAGGAAAACTGCATTTAGGGGAATGGGAAAAGATGAAATGGGGAGGCTTGACACCTTGGGGAGGGGCTAGGAAGGATTATTTTCATTTTTATTGTCCGTACAGGAGTCACTAGCCATATGCGTCTGGACCCCATTAAGATGTATGATGAAAATAAAAGTCACACTGAGTTTTGTAGGCATAGTATGAAAAATGAATGTAAAAACATCTCATCAATAATTTTTATATTGATTACATGTTGAAATTACATGTAAAATTCAATTAAGTGTGCATTTAATTAGGGGACATTATTAAAATTGATTTCAGCTACCTCTACTTTTTGAATGTGACTACTTGAAATTTTTAAATCAAATATATGGCTTACATTATATATTTTCAGTGGACAGAGCAGCTCTATGTTCATTTTACATGGTAGAATCTAGTTAAGGTTTACTTTTTGGCTTTTCTTCTGTAGTTTTCAAGCTGACAACATTGTGTTTTGAGAGAAAAATAGATATCGTGGGTTTTGGAACCTGGCAAGCCCATATCCTGGCTATAGCATTTGGGCAGCTGACCTCCTCTGATCCTAAACTTTCTCATTTGTTAAATGAATTTCTGTTTTGACCTCCCTGGTCAGAATTCACCAGGTTGATGTCAGGAAAAATACATAACAAATAAGTAGAGTGTTCAGTACAGAAACTGGCATGGAGAAAACTCAGTAACTATTCAGCATTATTCCTGGTTGCATCTCAAGAACTGTCAGATGCATAATTTTAAAATTCTGGTTCATTTCTAATTCAGATCCTTGTGTCGCTTGTTCTTCAGGTTTGTACTTGCTGTCACGTCTACCTATTTCTCTCCTCAGAAAGATGAATTCTTTTTCTTATCATTGAGAATCTCTTATCTGGTTCCCTATTTTCTGCTACTTATTCAGACTGAGCTCTTTCTCCACTTACTAACTCATTTCAATTTCAGGGCAAGAATTTTATCCCAGCTAAAACTGCAAAGCAAGATACAGCACTTGATCTGCCCTTGTTCCTTTTCTCCTACCTGGATGCTAGGTCTTGCCTTTTACTCAACTCTGCTTCTTTTGATGGGGTGATTTGTCAAGGACAGTTGAGACCAGACAAGTGCATATGGGAAGCTAACAGAATAAGGGTTGTGTGAGCAAAAGATCAAGAAAAGGAGAAACAAACAGGGAAGAAGAGAAGCATTTTTTTTAACTTCTTACCCCTTGCCCAACTCCCCACTCCCTGCCTTCTTTCTCCTTGTTCTTGCCTGTTGATTTTAAAAGCTGTGCAATGTTCAGTCCCTGGTAAGGACGAGGTGCTTCTCACCTCCTTCCTAGATTCTGCCACCAGAAGAACAACCTCCCACAGTGTAGCATCTCACATACCTAAAACCATGAACTCAATTTCCATATTCTCAGAAATAACATGTAGTTGTTTTGTGAAATACAGTGACAGGGAAGAGAAAAAAAATTGTAAAACTTTCTGAAGATACATAGCTTCCCCGGGTATGGGAAGCTTCCTAGCTCCCTCACAATGAGATGGGAGGAACTACTCACTCAGAACTGCATGGGATGAAAACAAGGAGCAGAAACTCAAGAACTAATGTGTGATAGCACAGGTGGCTAGAAGCATCCATGCTCCTCAAGGTCATGAAAAAAGCTCCCTGTTTCTTATACAAGGTTTTTTTTTTTATCAGAAAAAATGTTGATTTTTTTTGTTCTCACCTAGCAGCTATAACTAGGTGATTCAGAATATACTCTTGACTTAAGATGGTACTGGATTTTTTGCCTTTTCATCAGATCAATATGTTTCTTTGCCTATTTTATTTTTAGATTTACTGACTGTTCTCAGGGTAGCAAATTCAAAGAGAAGAAATAAGCAAATTGGTTTATATTTCAAAGACTAGGCCGAGGTCTAACAGGAAGAACACTTGGAAATTAACAAGAAAGCTGAGTTTTCTAGGCCCTTGTTGCTGATAGACAGGCTTTGTGGAGGACTTGTCCTTAGGGTAGTTACTTCAGTGCAAGGGATGGTCAGGCAAGTGTGTGCAGTATGGTCAGGCAGGGCATGGGCACATGGCTATTTTCCTGGAACATTTATTAATAATACTTGCCATCAATCATAGGCAAGAAGTAATCACTGCTGACCATCACTCCCCTAGAAAATCAGAAGTTTTGAAAATGCAAATGGATTATTCTTATGATTGTTATGACTCCAATTTAGAAGAGGGAGGAAGCATTCCTGAAAATGTAAATACTACTTTAAGATATCAGCTCTCTACATGGGAACTTTTGTTCTGTGCTCTTAATTTCTCTAGAAAAGATTCTCTGATCTTCCTTTTGTTTTGTTTTATCACTGTAGATCAACTCTCATGATAACGGCAATTTTAGTTGTTTGTGTTATATATCGCATCTCCCTGTCTGTCAGAATCATAGATAGCAATGATTATATAAATCCTATGCAGGCATGTGGACATGCAAACAGATGTACATGCAGCCAACATTTGATCCACGCAAGGGCCACTGAAGGGTGTCCCTTTGCTAGGTCCCGATGAGTTCTGGGCTGCTGACACTGAGCTACAAAGACAGTGAGCACATTCCTGTTTGAAAATAAAAAAAAACGTTGAATATATATATATATATATATATATATATATATATATATATATTTGTTTTATTTTTGGAGAATGTTTCCCACATGAAGGTGGAAGAGGTGATTTACCTAAAAGTGTTTGAAAAGAAGCAGAGGTGCTGTTGTAGATGTGAGCATCATAATTATAGGTGTGCATAGCCAGCACACATTTGTCCAAAAAACATTCTCCGTGACAGACTATCCCCGATTTTGCTTCCTTGGGAACTGAATGCAAAATTGGTGTTGCTAAATATGCTTCTTCATTAAAGGAAAAATTCCTTCCACTTGACTTAAAAACATCACTGGGTCTTCTTTGTGCAGACCTTCTTTTAAAATACAAATATTATTTCATCTAATATGGCTATACAGTATGCAGACATCTGTTGCTTTAAAACAAAACAACAAAATCAGATTTATGGACAACATGAAATGTTTCCTGGATACACAAGCAACAATGAAAACATTCTTAAAATTAACAGGCATCAACAGGTATAAATACACTGTCTAAAGCATTTAATGGTCTTTAACACAGCCAACTCCCCCGAGCTTGAAACAGCGTTAAATTCTCTTTTGCTAGTGGCAAAAGAAGCTGTCAAGCACAACATTGAAAAATTGGTACCATTTCCTGGCCAGTAAGCACAGAACCAAGGGGCTAAATATTTTATGTTTTTTTATTTATTTATTTACTTATTTTTGTTCTCATGCTGTTTTTCCCCCCTCTTCCTCTCTCTTTCTCTCTCCTCCTCAGGGCTGATCGTTGTGACATTAGCAGTATGCTGGATGCCAAACCAGATTCGAAGGATCATGGCTGCAGCCAAGCCCAAGGATAACTGGACCAGGTCCTACTTCCAGGCATACATGATCCTCCTACCCTTCTCCGACACCTTCTTCTACCTCAGTTCGGTGGTCAACCCGCTCCTGTACAACGTGTCCTCGCAACAGTTCCGCAGGGTGTTTGGGCAGGTGCTGCGCTGCCACCTGACACTCGAGCATGCCAACCAGGAGAAGCGCCTGCGCGCCCACGGACGCTCCACCACCGACAGCGCCCGCTCCGCCCGCAGCCCGCTCATCTTCTTGGCTTCCCAGCGCAATTCTTCTGCAAGGAGAACTAACAAGGTTTTCTTAAGCACTTTTCAAAGTGAGGCCAAGCCAGAGTCTGAGTCTAATCCCCAGCAACTGAGTCAGGAGTCACCACAGCCCAACTCAGAGACCAAACCAGCCAATTCTGCTGTCGAGAATGGTTTTCAGGAGCATGAAGTGTGAAATGTCAAACAAGGAAACCTTGAGTGGGAACTGGCCCTTCCCCCACGAAAGCAAGTCACAAAATAAACTGTGCCCCATCCGGGACAGAATGGAAGCTAGCAGCCGTGGAAAGGCAGATGCCCACCTTAGCGGCTTCTAAAGGCTGATTCTGCCAGCCTTGCCTTGCTGGTTAACATGAACCCGGGTGCTGCACTTCTGCTCCACTCCCTCCCTTGAGTACACATTGAAAATTCAGTCCGACTGAATTTATTCAGAGCTTACAAAAGTGTTTTACAGGGAGCTCTTTCATTATTTGCAAATGAACGAAAAGAGAACAGACACCCCTCTCTACCCAGAATAAAAGGACACTCAGAAGAGGTGGGGGAGGTGGAAGAGCGAGGGCCAGAGGAACAATGCAGGTAGCGATGGCATCTCTGTCAGCTTCAGCAGTGTGCCAAGAAGAGGGCTAATTTAAGGAGCAGGATGGTGGTGGGGAGCCCCGGCCTGAGGGCCCAAGCAGAACTGCCTCTTTTCTTGGGCCTCGGCCCGTTGCAAAGAGGGGTGTTGCAGCAGCTGATGCACACTGAGTTCAGCTTCCCTGGGGAGCAGAAGGACTGGTACCCGGCTGAGGCAATGAGACAGGCCGCTGACGATGCACACGACTTGCGGTACATGATCCCTGCAACACAGACCCAAAGGAGCTGGGTTAAGGTGTTGGCCAAAGGACAGTTATCCCTCTGAGCCTAAATTCAAATGGAGGCTCCTCCTTACTCCTCCCACAGCCCAGAGTCTTGGTGGGGCCAAGGGTTGTTTCACCGAACTCCCCAAGTACACAAGACCTATGGTGAAAGAGGCAATCATTATTTCACTACTTTTGACAAAATTGTTCCAAAAGGTATTTTAGATGCCAACACCAGTGAATAAAAAGCTGTTAAAAATCAAAGCCTGTTTTTTAAAGCTAGTGTTCATACTTTGTACTCAACACAAAGATTTTTATTTACTTTTTTGGTTCAAAATATCTCATGCCAGGAGGACCATACACAGCTGTTACTACTTTATCGGTGACCAAAGAGAGATGGCTCTCAACTGTGTGTTTATTATATCCTAGAATTCTTTGACTAAAACCCAAATCCCAAAAAGGAATATAAATCCAGCCCCTACTGCACAGGCCTGATTTTTCCCAGAGGTGATGGTCCATGGGATTTGATGGAGAGGTGGCCTGGCTGACAGTGTGCCCAGGACAACTTCATCCTCAGGGAGGAAGAAGCTCTGCCCTTAGGATAAATGGTCATTTGCCAAGTTGGCATCAAAAAGCTGGCATTCAATAATGCATGACATCCGGGCATAAAAAAAGAGCTTCCTGAGAAGACTGGAGGGCTTAACTGAAGGAACATATGTGCTCTGTCCAACTGCACTGCAGTCATCAAATTAGGGTGTCCTAGATAATCATTTGACTTCTGAAAGCCAAAAGTCCACTCATATTAAATAATAAGTTTATCTAAGGGCTTTCCTGGATTCCAGACACTATTCGGATGGCTTCAATATCCTAGTTCATTCACTACCGTGCTATAGTTTGAATCTGAAGCATCAGTCAGAGGCCCTCATGGTAAAGACTTGTTTCCTAACAAGGCACTACAAGGAAGTAGTGGAAACTTTTAAGAAACGGGGCCTTGTAAGAAAGAGGTCTTGGGCCACCCAGGGCATGCCCTCAAGGGGGATTGTGAACTTCAGCCTCTTCCTCCCTCTTCTTTCCTTCCTGGCTATGAGATGGAGCTCCTACACATGCCCCCTACTGTGATTTGTTGCTTTGTCATCCATTGGCCCATAACTGTTGTCTGCAACCTCCACAACTGTTATCCCAAATAAACCTTTCCTTTGCCTAAGCTGATGATCTCAGTTCATCATCTTTGTGCTTCATAATGGAAAGCTGACTAACATATACCAAGAGCAGCCCTCCAATAGAGGTTCCCATGACCCACCTCACTGTACAGATCAGGGGCCTGAGGGCCAGTAGCCAAGGGTATAGCAACTTGCCTGAGGTCACACAAGTAGAAAGTGGAACAGCTGGGATTTGAACCTGGAATTCTGGCTCTCTGTTGCCAACACAGTAGACAGCCAAATAGCCATGAAAATGGTGGAGTTTGGGG